CTTTAAGTCCCAAATTTTACATTTTATATTTAAAATTGCAGTTCAAGATAGAATAATCCTATTGTTCTCCATTGGATCTGTTACATCACAAGGATCTCCATATGTTAAAACAACTTCAACCCATCTGGGCACATGAACTTGTACTTTCCTTGCTATAACTTGCATCCATAGGTAATAGCTTCACATTTCTTCTGCAGTTCTTAGGGGTTGCCAGGCAAAATATCACCTTTAAGATAGAATTCAATGTCAGTTTCTCCTGGTAACTGTAGTATGTAATTAATAATTAACTAGTCATCTGAACTTGGGAAATTCATTTAATCTCTCGGAGACTTAGTTTTCTCATTTGTAAAATTTTAAAAATAAAATTTAAATGTCTTCATCTGCTAAATGAAAGGTTTGACCTAGATAGTCTCTAGATACCATTCTAGCTTTAACTTCATAATACTCCATTTAATAAATGTATAGGAAGAAATCGATACCCCAGACATTATGTATTCACTTAGCATCACATATGTTCGTGAATTCTGGAACATCTCTGTTTTGGTTTTGACTTATTTTTCAAGCAAAGATAATATTTAAGATTTGATAGATTTTACAACTACAAAATCTTTCCAGAATGCAAGGAACCAGTGTTTCTTTACATTCTTTTGCCTGTGCTTACATGAAGCAGTTACAGTTTTCAAAAGGACAAGTGCTTATTTCTTAATTCATCTGTTCTTGGTAATGTACTGTACTTTACCGGAACACCACTCCTCTCCCTATTCAATTGTAATTTATTGGTGAGAAATCAAAGGACATCTTTAATATGTGGACTAACTTAAAGAAACACAATATTTGTTTTTCAAGGGCCAAGCCAAACATCATGTCCTTGAACTTCTGATGCCTGATTTCTTTCTTTCTTTATACACTGATTTATGGACATTCCATACATGAATAGTAAAATTTTAGCATCACTATAAATACTTCCTAAGTAACACTTAATTGAAAAATATGTATAACATGTTATCTCCAGGAAAGGGACACTTTCCCCACAACAAATAACCTTTCAATGCATGAATCTACTTCGAATCTGTGCAGTACAGATAACTAGTTATACATGCAAATATTATAAATGATTGTATATAAATCCATCATAAAATAATTACTTTATATAAGCCACTTTCAATAATGAGAACAAATTTCTTCAGATACTTTTCAATTTTCTATCCATATAACAGTGAAAGACCTTAGAAAAACTGGTAATGAATCCTACCAACTGCATATTGTTAAATAATCTCAAATAGTACAAGAATTACCTTATTGCTAATAGTCATTCATTCAACAAATATTTATTGAATGTTTACCCTGTGCTAGGTACTATTGTGGGTAAGCAAAACAAAGATTCCTGCCCTCATGGAGCTTACAGTCTAGTCTGGAAGACAGATTAGCAAACAATAATTAAAAAGGGACTGGCCTAGCATAGGAGATGCTATGGAAAAGCAAAAATAGACCAGGGTGAGGGATCTCTGAGTTCGTGTAGTGGCGGCTGGTTTGCAATTTTAAAACAAGTGGTGAGAATAGGCTTCATTGAGAAAACAACACCTGAGGGTTAAGGGAGTTATCCCTGCAAGTGTTAGGCAGGAAGAGCTTTGCAGGCACAGGGAATGGCCACTGCCAGTCGGGAGGTGGAAACACCCTGGTGGGTTTAAGGAACAGGAGACCAGTGCGTCTGGAGCAGACTGAGGAAGGGAGAAGGCAGCAGGTGATGTAGTTAGGGAACTAGCAAGGCCCAGATCACGCAGGGCCTTGTAAACCACTTAAGGGCTTTGGCTGTTACTCTGAATGAAAGGAGGACATTGTAGAGTTTTCAACAGAGAAGTGACATTGTCTGGCTCAGGTTTTGAAAAGTTTGCCCTGGTTGCTGTGTAGGGAATAAATTGGGAAGAGGAAGGATAGAAGCATGAGATTCAACATAAGATTATGTCTTTATGCAGTAACCCAGGTGACAAACAATAGTGTAGCTTGGGCCAGGGTGGGAGCAGTGGAAGTGGTAAGGAGTGGTCTGATTCTGGACATATATTTTAAAGGTAGATTTGATGACAGATTGGATATGGATATGAGAGAAAGATAGGTATCAAAAATGACCTAAGAGTTTCAACCTACAAAGATGGAATTGCCTTCAACTGAGATGGGTAGGAAAGGCTGCAGGCAGAGCAGGTTTTGGTGGGAAGGATCTGATACTTGGTTTTGATCATCTTATATTTGAGATGTCATCCAGGTAGTATTGTCAAGAAGGAAATTGGATGTGTGACTCTGAAGTTCAAGAGAAAGGTCTAGACTATGCAATAATATTGCATTTGTTAAAATTGTTCAAAATGTACAGTTGTATAGGTTTTTGTTAATATAATAACTAAATATGATACATGATCAGGTTCTACATTGTTCTTGGACTTTATGGAGAACATATAATTTAGTGTGCAGTAGATCCTACAGTCTCAAATGAATTGACCTGACCTGCACTGCTATAACTTGCACCAGCATCATGAAGGTACTGTTTTCAGGTGGTCTTTAGACAAACCCATGGCATCACAGTGCTGAGCCCTTCAAGTCATGCTGATGCCTGAAGTTCCATTTGGAATTTATTTCCTTTGGTTATAAAATATGTGAAAGCAAATTCTTTACAAAGCAATCCAGAAAACATGTACATAATTTCTGATTACACTTAGCTATGATTTTCTGAATATATATGAGTATATAATAGCACAATACATTCCAGATATTTAATGTATTGACAAAAGAGCCCAACTGTTGGGTTTACTACACTTTTCCATGAGGAATTGAAACATGTGGTGATAAATTATCATTATTGCAACTTCATTTTCTAGTTTTTTCCCTTAATTTATAAAACCCAACCTTTCTCTGCAAAGGACCCCTCTCTTTACTGTAGGTTCCTGGAGGGCAGGGTCATGTGTCACTCAGCTCTGTGTCCTCAGGACCTGGCACGGTCTCTAGTTCAGAGTGAGTGCTACATAGTTTGTTCAGTTGAATTAAATTGCACAATGCTCTTCAAAGACTAATGGTCATTTTTTGTTGGAAGACAGTCATGTTGGATTCAAGAAAAATAGTTATCCTGTTGCTTTTACTAATGTTAGTTTGGGATCCATTAAAATTTTTAAGTTTCTAGATCAAGAGTAATTACCTAGTAATTATATGTATATACAATTTCAGCCATGAACTAATTACCATTTACACCTAACACTTGACAGCTGGATTATCATTAGATAATCATTAGATCAATTTTAATCAAAACCTCCTAGCACATATTTATACAATCTGCCTACATCTTTTCTTCAATTTTTCTCATAAGTTACGTTTGGTGTTTGGGGGTACTTTGGTTTTTACTGGGCATTACTTGACAATCCGTCAGGTCAGGCATAAGCCATAATGCCACAAACAGATATACTATGTACATATAAAACAATAAATATGCCAAATATATTTTTTTCCCTTAAAAAAATGAGAGTTGCTATGTCATTACCTGAATGATAAGTTTTCAATGGAACTGTTAATATCTGATCTACTCCCAAAAGCTATGGCTTTTCTCACTGAAAAGGCTGGATGGTTTTCCTCCTTTTGCGGACATTTGTGCTTTTTCTTCTTCTTTAGTCTTGTGTATTTTCCGCATAACTTTATCACACTGCTGCTCTTTCCACAATGCGATGTGTGGAATCTAAAAGCTTTGCCCATCTCTGTACAGCAGGCATTGCTCTTCTATGTTTCGCTCAAATGTGAACACATTGCTTCCGGCTCTTTTCCACCCACCTCACCCCAACGCAGCCCTTGCCTGTATTATGTAGTGACTCATCCATGCTTCCACCTTTTTGTTTTCTATTTTTGTTTTCTTTTGTTTTTAATTTGGGAAGCAAGGGAACTTTTCTTTATCTCGGGCTCCCTCTACTGTTTGGGATGGTTATTTATCAACAAAAGGGTACTGCCTAGTTACTGGTTTGGTTTGGTGACCAGAGATATTTGACAACTGCGGGTTGAATATACACTGTTAATTAACAACTTATCAAAAGGCTGTTTTGAAACCCTAACAATCATTTCCTTCCATTCACCCACTCAAGAGGAAAGGCAATTGATTAAGTTTGCTAACTATAAGACAGAGGTCATCTGAATTCACAGATCCAAGATTTTAGAACAGTAGTTAAAACTGGTTTTAATCTGAGGGCCATTCTTCTCTCCACTGAACCCAGACTTAGCAAAGAAAGGGTTCTCCAGCATCACAGTGTCAGCTCTCACTGGAGGATACTCCAATCTTCCATAGCTGTCGTTTGAGTAGCCAACAAGAGTGACAGTGGGGATGGACATTTCTAAAGAAATAAATTCATTAAACATTAGATTTTCTCTTTAGAAATTATTAGAATTTTGGCTGGGTGTGATGACTCATGCCTGTAATCCCAGCACTTTGGGAGGCTGAGGTGGACAGATCACCTGAGGTCAGGAGTTTGAGACCAGCCTGGTCAACCATAGCCAACATGGTGAAACCCTGTCTCTACTAAAAAATACAAAAATTAGCCGGACATGGTGGCTGGCACCTGTAATCCCAGCTACTTGGGAGGCTGAGTCAGGAGAATTGCTCAAACCCAGGAGGCAGAGGTTGCAGTGAGCCAAGATCGCACCACTGCACTCCAGCCTGGGTGACAGAGCAAGACTCTGCTTCAAAAAGAAAAAAAAAAAAAAAAGCAAGTATTAGAATTTTAACATAGGTCTTGGTCAAGGAACCACAATTACTGTTTAATATGGCCCAGCAGAGAGTCTGAGTTCATTAAACTGTTTTCTGAGCTCCCGAGTTCATGCCAGTGTCCCAGAAGTCGTGGCAGGTGCTGTGGGCAGGGTCTGGCCTGCAGCCATGAACCAATGGTGTGTTCTACCTGCAGAAGACCTGGAAGTTGTATGCGTTTCACATGGGTCAGTAGTTTGTCCTTGATTTTTCTTTTTGCCTTCTTGTTAAACACTAGACTGGGAAGCTCGAATTGACAGCCACGGGCGGGTCTTTTATGTGGACCACGTGAACCGCACAACCACCTGGCAGCGTCCGACGGCAGCAGCCACCCCGGATGGCATGCGGAGATCGGGGTCCATCCAGCAGATGGAGCAACTCAACAGGCGGTTGGTGATCATTATGCAATGAGCTCCCCTAAACCATAGTGAAAGGAGAATGGCAGCTAGAGACGCTCCCCTTACACTTTTCTGCCCAGACTGTATGAGGAGACTGGAAAGTAATTAAGTATCTTAAGAAACCTGTTCCTAGCAGGTATTTGGAAAGCTAGATTTAGAATTTGGTGGCAAGAGACAAGTTAAGCTTGAGTGTCATTTAAGGATGGGAAATCGTCTAAACTTCTTGATAGCCTAGGCTCAAAAACAGGAGTTCTTAACCAAGAGCCGGTGTATCCCCCTCTCCTGGGATGTTCACCAAGGATGTCAGTGTTCCTTGAACTTTCCAGGCACTGTACCCAAATTATACATAGATACACATTTTTCTGGCTGACTGATCCATACCCATCATACAGTTCTCAAAAGGATACAGACCTCGGTTAAGAACATTCCAAGGACAGGTTCCATAAGAAGACTAAAAGCTGCCTGGAGAATAAACTGTCTCATAAATCACTGTATGCATTCCTACCCTGATCCCATAATTGATATATGCCTATCAATAATAATTCGTGAAAAGCCTTCATCTGAGAAAAAGAAATGTTTAAAAACATTTTTTGAGAATTATTTTTTTTTGAGAACTTGTAAAGATATCATTTTGTTTTTAACCTACAGACAAAACCTTAAACAGTATCAGGCTTAAACAGTGGTCCATTCATGTCAGAGATGATGCAGTAAGCTAGTATAGAGCATTGTCTCTGACATCTTGCTCTTTAAGACCGGAGTGGCAGCTTCAGGATACTTTTGATTACCAGGAATTGCAAACTGAGGCTTCCTTCAGTTGAAATTGCACCGACATGCTGTCTTGCTTTCATGTCAAGTATGAAGGTGAAGGAAAAGTTGAGAAAAACTAAAAAGAATGAAGAACTGGGTTTGTGGAACACACCTACTGATAGCAAATGCCTTTGAGATTTAACTGTTATCTGCCAGAAAAGAGGAGGAGAAACAATTTAGTCCTATTAAAAACACAGGGGGCCGGGCACGGTGGCTCACGCCTGTAATCCCAGCACTTTGGGAGGCCGAGGCAGGTGGATCATTTGAAGTAAGGAGTTCAAGACCAGCCTGGCCAACATGGTAAAACCCTGTCTCTACTAAGAATAGAAAAAAATTAGCCAGGCGTGGTGGCAGGCACCTATAATCTCAGCTACTCAAGAGGCTGAGGCAGGAGAATCGCTTGAACCCGAGAGGCGAAGGTTGCAGTGAGCTGAGATCACACCATTGCACTCCGGCCTGGGAGACAGAGTAAGACTCCATCTCAAAAAAACAAACAAGCAAAAAACATGGAAACAAAAAAAAAAAAAGAAAATGAACTTCTGGTTACTGTTGTACACAGAGGAGCATACTTTAGGTGAAAATCACCAGAACATTTTTTCATTGCCTGAACGTTTGGAAGACATTTGCTTTCCACCTTTCCCCATCAGCAGCTGAGTGTTGAAGTCATTAACAAAAACCATAAAAGACTTGCATTGGCAGCACACTTTACAGTCATTCCCACTCCAACAAAGCATGTTACAGAGAGGAAGTCCTGATAACCCAGTTTTACAAGGCATGAATGGACCAAAAATCCATGGGAGAGTCCTTTCATGGTGATTGCAACAAGATTCGTGTAACTAAAAATGTAGAAGACAAAGTAAGCTCATCTTAGATAGAGACCCTGTTGTGATTCCGTAGGCAGAACTTAGCCCCTAGGTCTCTCTTGCAAAACTGATAAGCTCCAATTGTTTAGCAGAGAAATAGGGGAAGGCATCATCAGGCTGTATTCATAAGAGGTGCTGTTTTGAACACTAACCAAAGCAAGACAATGAATCTGAAGCAGAAGGAAGCACCTTGACCTATGGCATAAACATCCATGAAAGTTTATCGGGGTGATCAGCTTGCATAATATAAAAATTAGGCCAAATCCATCCTGAACCAGGTCTCCAAATAAGTTTTATAGCCTTTGATATGAATTCCTGTGCCCTCCAGTGGAGATGAACATGCTGGGAGAGGCAGCTGGACTTTGCCGAATAGGAAGTTGCATTTGCTACATCCATCTGGTCAGATAAAAAGAAAAGGAATTTAGCACTTTGAGAAGGAACTTATTTCTTGTGAAAAAGTGTACCTAGGGAAGATCAGATAACCTTCAAATAAGTATCCAGGCTTTTCCATACTTATCTTAACCTATTGCTTTGAAGCATTTAAGATTTTCTGTATTTGGCATGATAACAGGCAGCCCCAGAAAGTACACTTCCAATCTTCTATCCATCTCACATGCGACCACACACAAGGGTCATTATTTTGATAACCCACAGTTATCCGGAGAAATTTACAATGATTACTGGCTCACAGCCATGTGAAAGTATTACTCAGTGTTGCAAGGAGTTTCCCTTGAGCCTTAACCAGATGACTGTGAAAATCAAATGTGTTTGTGCAAGGAGATAACACTAGGAAGTGCAGAGTACACAGTAGCAATCAATGAGGAAGCTTGTGTGGTAGGTCGCAGTGACCATGTTCCAACTCAGCCATTCCCCAGACGTGGCACACTCTTCCAGGCCTTTATGGCTTGGCCACATGGTCCCACTGCAGGAAAATGCCTCATGCCTGCCTCCCACCTGAAACACAGCTTGTCCTACAGACCTGACTCAATGTCATGTGCCCCAGGACGCCATCCCAGAATCCTCCACACAGAGCCGGTGACTTCCTCCCCTGTAGCCTCCAGAATGTGCCTGCCTCTGTGCCACTTCTTACCTTTTTGCCTTATTCTTCCTTCTACCCTTCTCTGCTCCCAGCACCTAGTGTGGTGCCAGAAGGTTAATAGGACTCAGTACAAGATTGTTTTCTGGGTTAATTCCCATGCTTTCAGAATATCCAGAATTAATTCTACTTTCACAAATATTTACTGAAAAGCAGAAAATATAAATATGTATTCTTATTTTAAATAATCAACTAAAGTTTGATTTTTTAATTATTTGTATAAAATTATGATAATTTAAGGGAAATCAAAGTTTTAGATAGAAAAAAGTGATCTATACTTTAGCTACCCCAAGGATGATTTAGCCTTTTTTTTTTCTTTTTTTGAGACAGAGTCTCACTCTGTCGCCCAGGCTGGATTGCAGTGGCATGATCTCAGCTCACTGCAACCTCCGCCTCCCGGGTTCAAGCCATTCTCCTGCCTCAGCCTCCCGAGTAGCTGGGATTACAGGCATGCACCACTGCACTCAGCTGATTTTTGCATTTTTAGTAGAGAGAAGGTCTCACCATGTTGGCCAGGTTGGTCTCAAACCCCTGGCCTCAGGTGGTCCTCCTGCCTTGGCCTCCCAAAGTGCTGGAATTGCAGACATGAACCACGGTGCCCAGCTAATTCAGCCTTTTAAAAACATGTATCCATCTTCAATTTCCATATGCATGCACAATTCTTACATGATTACGACGGTGATATGTAGTTAGTTTCATATTCTTTTTTCACTTACTACACTGTAAGCATTTAATATTGCCGCATAGTCTTCGATTAACATGTAATTGCTTGTATAGTATTCCACTGAATGGCTGAAGTTTAGTTAACCTAATTTCATACTGTTGAATGTTTTGCTTATTGCTTTTGTCACTGTTTCTTGTCGCAAGGGCCTGCTAAATATTAAGATTGCCTTATAGTGGAGGGTTTCCTTAGGGTTCTATTCCCAAAAGATTAGGCCAAGGGAGATAAATGTGGATTTGGCATTCGGTATCAATGCCTAACTGCTTTCTACATTAGAGATTGTGGTTCTAGGGGTTTACTCTGCCAACAACTACAGCTTCACTTCCATCTTATCTTTTGGTTTGTTTTTGTTGCTATAAGGGGTGATCCTGGTATTTTGATGCCACTTAGATTTCACTTGTTGGAGCAAGGGTCAACTTGTTTTCCATAAACTTTTCTTTAATAAGGAGTAGTTTCTCCCATGTGAATTGTCTGTTCTTGGGCTTTTTTAGAGGGGGGAGGTTGTTTAGTTGGCTGATTCATTTGGCTTGGTTTTGGAGGGCTTTTTTTTTTTTTTTCTTGTTTGGCTTTGTACGTGTGCGTGTGTGTGTGTGTGTGTGTCCATTTACAAATTATGTATGTCAGCTGACTTTTTAGCTAATTTTCATTAGCCCTCTATCTATTATAAATATTTAACCTTTTGCTACAAAAAAAAAATGGAGGAGGATATTGATGGATAATTCCTAATGAAATAGAAGAGAGCTGCCTCTCTCTCCTGTTTAAAGCTGGGGAACCTCTGAGGCTGCAGTCCTGCCCTGAGAGACTGAGAGACCCTCCTCAAGCCACTGCATGCCCTGCTTCCCCAGACTGCCTCTGTGCTCCGGCAGAGGTCAGACGTGGGGCCAAATGCAGGATTTGAGGCTGTTGACTCAGTAAGGCCTGCGATAACCAAGGTCCAGCTGAGGACATGTGAAGTAGGTTGTGACACTGCTGACATTATCCTCATCAAATAAGATCATATTTACTCATAATGCTCTGCTGTGGTTACTGCACATTGGGAAGGAAGGGAAGGTTACTGACATTTTTCTAAGCCCTATTCCAGACATCTGTTGCTGAGTAAAACTACACCAAATGTAGTGGCATAAAACAACCACAAGCTTTTCTTCTTACCATTATTTCTCATGGTTCTGTTTTGACTGAGCCCAGCTAGGCAGTTCTCTCCCGGGATATCTCCTGGTTGCAGTCAGAGGGTGGCCGGGGCTGGAGACTCACATATTAGGAGCTTGATGCTGGCGGTCGGCTGGGCCTCTCAGCCAGGACACCTGCACAGAGACTTTCCATGAGGCCCAGGCTGCCTCAGAGCATGGCTGCTAAGTTCCATCACGAGCTGCTACAAACTCTATTCGTCAAGGTAGTTGAAGGGGACATGGATTCTGTCTTTTAAAAGGAGAGAGACAGTTCTGGAAGAGTATGTGGGTCTAAAAATATCATTGTGCCATTTTGAGAAATGCAGTCTGCCATAAGGCATTTAGGGAATCCTCCCGGTAGCAGCTGCCTTAGTCTTTGGCAGGCCCCGTTCCCCGCCTTGGTCAAGGTCACACACTTGGGCAGCTTCTTGCTGGCACCCTCTGCTTTCCTGCCACAGCTATATTCCCTGAGTCCCCAGCAGGGAGAAGATCACAGAGGGCCATCGTTCACCATCCATCACTCTTCACAACCTCCCACCACAGATGTACGGGGTGGTGAATTACCACAAATATTTCTGTCTGTAGATACACCACTGCTCAGCTCATCGCCCCCTTCCACATTTTGTTCTAAGAGGCCTGCTCAGGAAATGCCTTGCAGTAACCACTCCAGGCAAAGGTGGCTTCTGAAAGGTGTCAGAAGTGAGTGGGAGTCTCCCCAGATAAAACAACAGTGAAAGAAAGCCCTTAGACCAGTAGTTCTCAAACCTAGATATAAATAATACTATACTTCCTAAAGAACTCGTTAGAAATGCAGATTTTTATTTTGCTTCAATTTCTGTAATTTTAACAATCACTCAGATGATGCTCTTGCAAATGGCCTGGAGACTACAGTGAGAAAGCTTTCCTCTGTAAGGTCAAGGAAAGGGCGGGGCACTGGTCTGCAGAAATCCTGCCATAATGGAGCCTCGTCTGTGCAGCGAGCATCCCCGCGCGTTCCCACCTGGGATTGCACTTGGAGACTGGCTATTCCCTGCTACCCTGTCTCTCATCCTCCTCCTCCTCTTCACCCCCTCATTGCTTTCCCGGAGACAGAAAGTCTCCAGCCTAGGCTGTTGCAGGAGCCCCCAGCTGCTCTCCGCAGCTCCAGGCTCCTCTCCTGCAATGCATTCTCCACTCCGACACTGGGTAATCACTCTCCGTGTACATCTGGCCCTGCCTGGTTTTTTTTGTTTTTTTTTAAGCAGCCACCCATCACCAAGAGCAATGGTTCATTCTCAAGATTCATCTCTAGGCCAGCAGCATCAGGATCACCTGGGAACTCATCAGAAATGCACATTCTTAAAAAAGAAAAAGAAAAAAAGAAAAAGAAAAAATAAATGCGCATTCCTGGGCCCTACGCCAAACCTACTGAATCAGAGACTCCGGGCTTGAGGCCGGCAGTCTGTGTTTTAAGTCCTGCGGGTGATTCTGCGCGGCTCAGGTTGGGGAACCTGTGGCCTAGAGAATAGCACCCATCCTACTGCAGGGCGCCCTCTGGGGCTCCTTCCTCCCTCTCCACTGGTCTCGTGGCCCTGCCCGGTGCCCACACACCCTGATGCCACTGCCAGGTGTCTCAGAGCTCCCCGAGGGCAGCCTGTTTTCGCACGTGTTGTTTCTCTTCTGAAATGTCCTTTCCCAGCAAACTCTCCAACAAATTCATACTCCAACTTCACAATTTACAAACCTTGGGAGGTTCCTCATCTGTGTCCCACACACCTCTTGCCTGTCTGTAACAGCCTTTCACCTGGCTGGAGTTATGGCTTCCGTCCCATTTGCCTTTTGTTACATCTCGACTGTGTGTGTTTAAAGGGCAATGTCGTATTCTAATCCTCTCCTCCATTGGAAAGTCCAGCACAAAGCCTTCACACACTGGAAGGGTTAGCAAATATTTGGTACTTGGCAAGGTGGCTAGCTGGCTGGCCAAATGACTAAGTCCCCAACTTGGGAAGAAAAACAAAATGAGCCTTTGAATAAGCAGAAAACATTTATTTATTTGCCAGCATGCTATTAGGTATAATATTTCCATGACCTTTGCCCAATTATATCAATTATCCAACAAATAAAACTAAGTGAGTAGAACCGCTAGCCCAGTTTGTACACTTATTACGATAGTGTTGAGGTAATTTGATATCTTAGTTGTAGCATTTTAATTTACTTCCCACACTCTTATTTTAGACTTAGCCTGATTTTGTTTAATGCAGGGCACAGGCTGTTTTGCATGATTAGTTATTATTTGTGTTGATTTTTGAAAAGTCACCATACTTGAAACTCATCATAGCTTACAAAACAAAAAGAACTCGAATCATCTTAGAGATACTTGTCTTGCTAATTGTGCTGGCTATCTTGTGGGAATTTTAAGCATTTCTTTCCTGACATTCAAGACAATTCTTTACAGATTTCTCCAATTATCTGATTCAGAGTATTGGCCCCCAAGGAGCAAACCAAAGTTAACTCCTGTCTTTCCATTTTCTAATGCAAAGGTATCAAAACATTCAGCGAACCATTGCAACAGAGAGGTCGGAAGAAGATTCTGGCAGCCAAAGCTGCGAGCAAGCCCCAGCAGGAGGAGGCGGAGGTGGAGGGAGTGACTCAGAAGCCGAATCTTCCCAGTCCAGCTTAGGTATTGGAGGAGGGGTACCCACAACCTGTGATGGCTTCCAGGGGCTGTGTGACAGAGGGCTACAAGCCTGTCACCCTGCCTCATGGGGAGCAATGTGCCCCAGGGTGAAGAGAGTGGAAGGCCAGGGTAGAGGATGGAGGCATGCCTGGTGCCCCCCAGGGAAAGCAGACAGAATGAGCTTCCCACCAGGAAACTTAGGAGAAGTGATCACAGTGAAGGAAACACCACCACCCTGGCGTGGGGATCTGGAGACAGGAAAGTAGATGAATTCCGGGGATGGAGCTGAATTTGCTAGAGTGCTTGTAGAGCAAGGCAACTTTGTCAGTGGCTCAATCATGTAGTGTTAACTAAATGTTTTATTTATTTATTTATAATTTATTGTTAAGTAAATTTATTGTATTTGTTGGTATCCTAAGGATTTTTTCACTTATAAATAAAACATGCAATAAAAATTCACAGTCTATTTCAAAGGAGCTGTGTGATAACACTAGGAATAATCACTCATTTGCACATAGAATAAAATTCAGTTCCCCCAAGAGAAGAACCTGGGAATGCAGAGGTTTTCCAGCATGCCACAGGAGGGAATTTTTACCCACTACAGTAGGCATTCACCTGGGGCCTGGTTTTCCTGGTCTTCATTTCTTTGAATTGGCCCGAGTGGAACTCAGACAAGGATAATTGAAAGGCATGAGACTAGCTTCCACCTTTTTTTTTTAACCTGTAGTGAGATAAGATTATCACAGTGACATCCTAATAATCCACTTTCTTTTTAAATTGGGTAAATGATGGCAAATTTATTTGCCAAACGAAGGGTTAGAGAACAGTCTGGGCAGGCAGCACTGGGATCCCAATCCTGCCAGGTCTCAGCCGTCTAGGACAATGCAGAATATTGGACATTTTCATGTGATTTTTAAAAAGGCACATGCACAGTTCCACCACCAATTTTAATTTCCCCCTTTCAATTCATTTTACCAGATATGCTAACTAAACTGACTAGTTTAGGTTTTTCTGTTACTATTATTATTATTATTATTATTATTATTACTGAAGAGAGAGTTTCTCTTTGTCATCCAGGCTGGAATGCATGGTGCGATCATAGCTCACTGGAGCCTCAAACTCCTGGGTTCAAGCAGTCCTCCCAACTCAGCCTCCTGAGTAGCTGGGATCTCAGGCATGCACCACCACGCCTGGCTAATTTTTTCATTTTTTGTAGAGACAGAGTCTTGCTCTGTTGCCCAGGCTGGTCTCAAATTCCTGGCCTCAAGCGATCCTCCCGCCTCATCCTCCCAAAGTGCTAGGATTACAGGCATGAGACACCACACCTGGCCTATTACTTATTTCTTTGTTCAAACTTCTGAGAGAGACATGGTACAATAGCCAAGTAACTAGAAACACGACGAAAAGGCAGCAGAAAGTTTATTTCTGAGTTTGATATTAAATGAGTTGGCATTTACTGTATTAAAAAAAAATCCCAGAGTTAGTGGCTGAAACTCACAGCCATGCATCTACCCACAGTTCTACAGGTCGGCAATTTGAGCTGAGCTCAGCTGGGTGGCTCCTCAGAATGCTGCTGGGCTCACCTGTCCATCTTGGATCAGCTGTGGAGTCAGCCAAGGGCTGACCTGAGACGGCTGCGGGTGGCTTGTCCCTGCTCCCATGGCCCTGTGGCCTCTCATCTTGCAGCAGCCTCGCCCAAGCTCATTCTCATGGCCGTGGCAGGGTTACCGGAGAGTGGAGACACACAGGTCTCTTGAAACCCTGATGCTGAACTGATCCGTTGTCACTTCTGACATGTTCTGTTGGTTGAAACAAGGCACAAGGCCAGCCCCAATTCACCAAAGGGAAGAGCAGCAAAGTCCCAATGCAACTGGGTGTGGATACCAGGAGAGGAATTGTGGTCCTTTCCACAAACAGTCTGTCACAGCTATGGTTAGCAATTTGTAAAGGAAATAAGAAAAAATAGCCAGGCATGGTGGTGCATGCCTGTAGTCCCAGCTATTCAGCAGGCTCTGTATCTGGGAGGATGGCTTGGGCCCAGGAGTTCAAGGCTGCAGTGAGCTGCGATCGCGCAGCTGCACTCCAGCCTGGGTGACAGAGCGAGACCCCATCTCAAGAAAAGCAAAAAGAGAGAGAGGAAAGAAGGAAGGAAGGGGAAGGAGAAGGGGAAAGGGAAGAGGAAGTGGAAGGGGAAGGGGAAAGGGAAGGGAAAGGGAAAGGAAGGGAGAGAGAGAAAGAAAAGGAAGGAAGGAAGGGAAGGAAGGAAGGAAGGAGAGAAAGAGAAAAGAAAGAAAGAGAAAGAAAGAAAGAAAGAAAGAAAGAAAGAAAGAAAGAAAGGAAGGAAGGAAGGAAGGAAGGAAGGAAGGAAGGAAGGAAGGAAGGAAGGAAGGAAGGAAGGAAGGAAGGAAGGAAAGAAAAAAAGAAAGAGAAAGGGAAAGAAAGAAAGGAAGGAAAAAAGGAAGGAAGGAAGGAAAGGAAAGAGAGAAAGAAAGAGAGAGAGAGGGAGAGAGAGGGAGGGAGGGAGGGAAGGAAGGAAGGGAGGAAGGGAGGAAGGGAGGAAGGAAGGAAGGGGAAGGAAAAAGAAAATCATTGTGATAAAAGGGAAGAGATGTTGGAGGACTTGAGCCTTACTGAAATTATGCAGAAACACTGCTAGGAAATGATGATTCTTAACTGACATACGTAAAGTAATGACACTTGGCCTAAATCCAACAGTCTGCTGTGTGGGTGAAGGCTTGTGTGCTGCTGCCATCAGGAGCGAATTACAGAGGTTGAAATGCCTTTTTTCCAACTTCATTTTTTCCAGATCTAAGGAGAGAAGGGTCACTTTCTCCGGTTAACTCACAAAAAATCACCTTGCTGCTGCAGTCCCCAGCGGTCAAGTTCATCACCAACCCCGAGTTCTTCACTGTGCTGCATGCCAATTATGTGAGTGCCCTAAAATGCGGAGGGAGTGGCCTGGCTTGGCAAGACCCAAAACACAGCTTTGTAAAGTCATCTGATAGATCTAAAAGGGTAGAATTTTAACGTAAGCAAGAAAAAACAAAGAAGACAGCTCAGTCCACTCTTTTGACTATCTGTGAGTCTCCCGAAAAGGACAAAGGCTGGATTTGGAAATGCTGTTGCCTCTTTGGGTTTTTGTTAGGCTCAAATGTGTTAATGTCAGTGAAAGTGCTTTGGAAGCAAACTGGTTTTTATTATTATTAAAATTTTAAAGGAGCAAGATTATGAATCGGCCAGATTCCCTTCAACCTAATCATTTTATAAAATCATTTGCACTGATAAAATTTTAAAGCAGAGTTCTTCTAGGTAAATAACTGGGTTTCTTTTTGATATGGTTTTTTCAAATATCACACTGAAGTTAAATTTGGTATGATTTTACATATGTAGTTTTTTCATTGCTTTTTTTGGTATTTTCAAGAAAGCGATGGCATGATATCACTATATTCATTAATTTTTCCATTCAACAAACATTTTCTGCGGTTCAGGCACAGATCTAGGTGCTGGAGTCACAAAGACAGATTAAGGTGACACCTAAACAGTAGGAGATCCCATTTTGTGGAGCAATGATGTGAAAAAGATCAGCCCAGTGTGACAGGACCAGGCCAAACTGAGGGAGGACAGAGTGCTGTGGGGGCACCAGGGAGATTCTTGGGGAGGCGGCTGAACTGAGTCCTGAAGGTCGAAAGTGGACAAGAAGAAGTCCAGGCAGAGGGACATCTGTAGAAAGGATGCACCCGTGAGGAGGCCTGGGGGACAAGTCCAAGGTGGTGAGTGTGAGTGACTGGCAGGAGGGAGAGAGGAGGAGGGGCTGGAGACTGGGCAGCAGAACACCTGGTAATTCATGCAAAGGAGCCTGGATCTACTGCAGCAGGTCACAGGAGTCAACAGTAGCACTCGGGCTGCCTGACCAAGGGGGCTGATGATGCATTTTCTCTGGCAGAGTGTCAGGGAGAGAGACTGAGCTGAGGGGGTTAAGACACAGGCTGATTCAACCGCTAAGTGAGAGATGATCTGGCTGTGACCTAAGGAAGGGGTGGGAGTGTGGCAAGGAATGGCTCCATTCAAGGACATTTCTCATGGACTCAGCAGCACTTAGGTCCACCGTGATCATGAGTGGGCGCAAGATGATAACTCAAGAAAGACAGCGTAGTTTCTGCTTTGGGCACCTGGGTGAGGCAGTGACCGCACTAAGCTGGAGCTGGAGTTTGACTGGGTGATGGAGGGCGTGGCTACAGAGGGGGATATCAGTTTTTAGCAGGTTATTTCTGAGAAGCCTGTGGGATGCCCAGTGGCTCGATCCCAAGCAGCTCCCCAGAGGCGTTGTGGCGGCCACAGGGAGAAAGCGCGTGGCACATGGCCATGCCCCAGCTCTGGGTGCAGGTGGCCCTGGGCCAGTAGGCGCCACTGGCCCAACCCCCTGTCTACATGTGGTCTGTCCCTTCACGCATACCCCTGCCGCCACACACACACACACCAGCCCTGTGTACCATCACATTGTCATTTCTTTCTTCATCTGTTCCCATCCCCCAACCCCCTACACACACACACACACACACACACACACACAAAGTTTTTACATAGGATTCAAAGAAATGACAGATCTCTCACGTCCAGCCTTCAATCCCCAGAGGCCCTAAATTAATGCTCCCCGTTTTAGACAGGTAGGAGGACCAAAGGCAGACCTCAATAGTCAGAGAAGGGACCATGGAGGAAAGAGAGGAGTGAGGTTCACGCAGGTAGAGGGAGACCAAGGAGAGCCAGACATGACTGAGACAGCGAGAAAACCATGTGGAGTCGCACAGAGGGGTGGTGGGCCGCGTCCCATACTGCGCAGCACTCAGGTGGAACGGGTGTCACAGATTGTCCATGTGGGCCAAGGGGGCATGATTCAATACACATTTACTTTTTTTTTTTTTTTTTTTTTGAGACAAAGCCTTGCTCTGTTGTCCAGGCTGGAGTGCAACAGCACAATCATGGCTCACTGCAGCCTCTATTCTCGGACTCAGGTGATCCTCCCACCTCAGCCTCCCAAGTAGCTGGGACCACAAGCACGTGCCACCACACCCTGCTAATTTTTAAAATTTTTTGTAGAGATGGGATCTTGCTGTGTTGTGCAGGCTGGTCTCAAATTCCTGGGCATTTACTTCTTGAGCAAGACCTCATTTTCTGAGGCCTCTACCTCACACTCATAATAAACCGCTGTGTCACAATCACACTTAGCAGTATTAGGGTGCTCACGGTGTGCTTGCTCTGTGTTTTTCTTCATTCCCCACTCCTTACCCCATTGCCCTGACCCGTCTCAGAGTGCCTATCGAGTGTTCACCAGTAGCACCTGCTTAAAGCACATGATTCTGAAAGTCCGACGGGATGCTCGCAATTTTGAACGCTACCAGCACAACCGGGACTTGGTGAATTTCATCAACATGTTCGCAGACACTCGGCTGGAACTGCCCCGGGGCTGGGAGATCAAAACAGACCAGCAGGGAAAGGTGAGTGTGACCCACATGCTGGGTTTTCATCAAACAGGCTCCTTCCCCAAGGTGAAGATTAGCAAGGATGTGAGGAGGAGGGTATAGGGAGGAGTTATGTCTGGGAGATGCGCTGTCAGCTGCCAGCAGGAAAGAGGGTGATGACCATCCACATCTGGGCTTCTCAACCTCAGGGCTACTGTGGGGAGAAGGGGGCCAGGCCAGGGGAATACCCTGTGCCTCACAGGACATTAGCAGCATTCCTATCCCTCAAGCCACTAGATGCCAACTGTTGTGACATTGCTATGTGTTCCCCTGGGGGGGCAAAGTCACACCTAATTAAGAACCACTGTCTGCATGATTTTAAATTTAGGTTTGGAACATGGAACCGAATTCTGTCCAGTGAACTTTTGGTTGTTTGCCTCCTTAGACAGCTAACTCTCAGGGGATAAACTCGTTGGTTAAATGCAGTGACACTGTTAGAGGATTTGTTGTGATTTCCCTAATACACCTTAAGTTTTCTGTAAAACAGCCTAGCAAGCAGAGTGGGGTGTGCTGGGCCCGTGTGATCTTCCCTGGCTTACAGTTTGCTTCTGTGTGACCTTAACCCAAACCGGGCCTTTCTGGCCATGCTTTAGAAGACCAGCTGAGTCTGAAAACAAGAAGGTTTCTTCCTAATCTTCATCAGCCATCTCAATGTATTCAAAGGACAGGCCAAGTAATTTACTAGAACTGAACCTGTGTAATCTTCTATGAACTTTACCAGAGAGAATCCTTCCCTCTTTCTGGTCCGAGGAACCAGAAGCTTTGCCTGCAGTCATGTCTGTGACGTGTCCTTTCCTCTGTGAATGTGAGCCTGCAAAGCCGTGTTCCTCAAAGGGAGCTGATTTGGCATCAATGTCCCCTCGAAGCCTTGCGTCTCTCTCCTACAAACCCCTTAGCATGCCTCAGAACCTGGACTCTCTGGAGTGTGTGGGGAAAGAATGGGGGACTCATTACAAGTCCATTCATAAAATGAATCTCTAGGACCAGCTCCTCTGTAACCAGAGATGAATTAGGGGAGGGGAAAGAGAATGCCTTGTGTAGTAGAAAAGTCACTGTAGCCAGCATCTGCTCCCTGGGATCTTCTCGTTGACTGGACGTGGACTCTGTTGGGAGAGGGACAATGATTTGTATGTGGGGACTTGGTGATATGCATTAGGGTAGGAAAATGAAGCCTGAGCCAGAACAGAAAGTAAAGGAGTGGCTTATCAGAGCTGGGTTTTGGGTAGCCACATTTACATTTATTGCTTAACCAGTACACCAAGACGACACCACCATGTTCATCATGCAAACAGCACACACCAATGTGAACAGCTTGCTGAGTCTTGGATTTCCATGACTGCAGTTTTTGTACCAGAATAAGGATGTCAGGGAGCCCAGCGGAATGACAAGGAGGCTTTCCAATGCAATAAGCCCTGGTTCTCCATGGTACACATGCAGATAATGTGACATCCCCTGGTCATCACACCAGCAGGGAAGCACAGAGACTGAGATGCACTCTGAGAGTTTTGTTCCATTTGGGAATGCATATGAGGGAATTTCTGGCAAGAGCTCTTCCCCCTAATTCTCTTTAGCAAGAAGATATCATACATGAGAAAGAAAAATTCCGAATTTGAAATGAGAAGACTTTCAGTTATGACACCAACTAGCTGTGTGCCTACACACACATGCACACACACACACAAATGATCTCACCTATTTCTTATTAATTGAACACACACACATACACACACTCATAGTGACAGAATGTCTAAGAGGCATACCATATAGTGAATTGCTGGGGAAAGTTGCCTTAGACTTGCAATGTATTACCACAGTCCATAGGGTGGTCAGAGAGGAACAAAGGAGGATAGTGGGAAAAATACATGGACCAGTCCATCTCCGTCTAAATACATGACCCTGTGCAAGTCACTCTACCTTTCTGAGCCTTAAAATAGCAACAATAATGCCTACGTTGCCTTCATGATTTTACAACCAGATAAATAAGTTAATAAGTTCATGAAGGAATGATTGATAATATCATGACAGATTAGTAGTATCTGCCATTCTTTCTCTTAATGTCCCCCAAAATAATCCAAGATCAAGATTGTTAAGTGGGGGAAATAAAAGAATATCTCATTGCCAAAGCCCATTGATGAGGAGAATAGATTGAGAAAAACATATTAGGACTGTGTCTTACAGGTTTCACCCTTGGAAAGGATATGCTGCACAGCAGACTGAGAGTTAGGAACACAACTCCCTGAACAATGGGGTGGCCATAGCTCACTATGCAAAAGCCACCTTCATAGCTGTCCAGAGCAGGTCCTTGCCCCTCACCCTGGACAATCTGCTTCTTGCTTTAGCTACAAATTCAAACATGGCAACCTTTGCTTTTATTATCCACCTTGATAGGAAGTAGAAGGGCTGGGCAGAGCTGTTTGGTGTCTTTGAATGCGTGGTCATCTCTACAAAGGGGACAGAGGCAAGGAGCTCAGAGCTCTGCTGCTTCAGGAGGACTGGAGCAAAGAACACACCGGCATCTGACTCATCTGCCATCTTCAGATTCTGAGAAAGGAGGACAGAGCCTTCTGCCCAGTTTAATAGAGATTGCATGTGTGCCTTATGCCTCATTCCAAGTCTGAGCTGAGGGAGGCAGTCACCATCAGAGAGGTAGGGCGGTGGGCCCCATGGGTCCTATCTTGTAGCAGACATGAGACCAAGGCGGCTTCTGCTAAGACATGAATAAATAAAATGAGAAGGGGCCTAGGAAGAGACACTACTGCAAGAAGCAAACAGAATCTTGGTCTGACAAAAAGCATGTCTCTTTTTTCAGAAAGCATATTCTTTCTCAGAAAGTATAATTTTCTTTGGAAAATAGAACTGTTTAAAAGACATCTATTCATCATCCATGAAATGGCACAGGAGCACATGACTTCTGTTATTAACCAAGAGGAAAAAGCCACAAGCAGAAAACAAGCTGGGAGGAAACAGACATAGGTAGTCTGAAAATAGCTGTTTTAAGACTGCAGGGAAAAGCAAAAGGTAATAATAATAGCATAAGTATAAAACAGAGCAGCACTGATGCTGTGTGAAATGTCATCACCGATATGGCGTATGAACATGGAAACAGCCCCTGAAGCAGAAGGAAGGGACCAGATTTCAATCAGTGGAGGAGACGGTTAAAAAAAAAAAATGCAAAAACTGAAAAAAGAAAAAACTTATCTTCTCTATGCTTATCCTAACCATTCAAGTTAATGCCACAACCTTCCCTGACCCCTAGACCATGTGCTCCCCCATGTCACTTACACATTTATTAGGTTTATTGCTTATTGTCTGTTTCTTGTGGCAGGATTTTAAGCTTTTTGAGAATAGAAATCTTTGTTTTGCTCACTGATAAAACATCAAGGGCCAAGAATAATGCCTAGTATATAGTTGGCACTCAATAAATCTCTGTTGCACCAATGACTTATAGAGTTACCTGAGGGAAGAAACCAGAATACTAGGTACAGCAGGAATAATTAAATATTAATGTTAATTATATTAAATAAATATTAAATATTAAAATTAAAACGTTGCTGATTTAAAATAAATTATTTAGGTGAGCAGATTAATTGGGCTCACTGAACTACAGTAAAGGTAATTAAAATGCATTAGATATCTACACATGTTCTGGAATGTCTTTAAATAGAAATTCTTTAAAAATCTTATCAATATGCAGCCATGATAATATAAAAGTTACCTACAAAAGAATAAAAATCAGACAAGCTTCACATTTCCCATCCTAAAAATGAAACTAGAGAAATCCACAGAGCAATGACTCCAAGATATTGATGAGAAAAGATTGTAGCCCAGTAGTCCTAAATACAGACAATGATTGTCATTCATGGGTGAAAACAGAAAAACAACCTCATGTGCAAAATCAGAGCTTACCCTACCCTTTTACCCATCCTGATTGTTACGGTTTGATAGTTTGAATATGATTTGTTTGACCCCTTAAATCTCACACCGGAATTTAATCCCCACTGTGGCAGTGTTGGAGGTGGGGCCTAGTGGAAGGTGTTTGGGTCACAGGGACAGATCCCTCAGGAAGGACTGGTGCCATCCTTGCAGCAATGAGTGAGTTCTTGCTTATTAGTTCCCTCTAGAGCTGGTTGTTAAAAACAGCCTGGCACCCACTCCCTACCCGTACACTCTCTGGCTTCCTCTCTTACCATGGGATCTCTGCACATGCTCCCCTTCACCCTCCACCATGAGTGGAAGGAAGCAGCCTGGGGCTTTCACCAGACGCCCAGTCTTCCAATCAGCAGGATCATGAGCCAAATAAACCTTTTTTCTTTAGAAATTTCCTGGTCTCAGGTATTCCTGTATAGCAACACAAACACACTAAGACACTGATGAAACACCAAAAGCCATTCTCCAGATGGATCACTAACAAATCAAAGCACGACATTAATAGTGAAAAAATGATGGTATATAAAGGACTAGTGGTGAGTATTTAAATCAATCAAATACATCAATATAAATAAAAGTAATTGTTGTTAAAATGCTTTAAGACATATCGGAAAAGTCTAAATAAAATATGTGAAAAGCTGTATAATACAAATGGAATAGTTGTATAGTAACAGTCTGGATCAATGTCACCAGACTGGAATAAAAAAAAAAAGTAAGGAAGTGAGAAGAGGGAAGATGAGCAGGGGAAGGAAGGTTATGCTGAGTTACTAGTTGGGCTCAAGGGGAATAAAACTGGATCGTTTAAAAAACAAAGGCTCAATATAGTAATTTGACAAGCTTAAAAGGCAACTCTTTGTACCACTTAAAATAGAATTTTTCTCTTCCAAATTCCTTCAAAAGATAAAATCAAACAAAATAGAGTTTGTATGACAAAACACAAAAAACTGCAAAGAAAATGGAAACAATAAAAGTTAGGATAACAAGTAAGTAAGTAAAGTAAAAAAGTAAGTAAAGCCAAGCATAACAGTTATGGCAACAGGTGGAAACAT